ATGGAGAAAGGGGGGGGGGGTGGGGTGGGGTGGGGGGTGGATCAGCAACTGCACCACACTGCTTGTCCACTTTCATTGTGAGATTACCAATATATATACTAGTTTAACGATCATAAAGGGTGAAAGCACACATCAATTGATCAGTTCTATAGGACAACATCATTTTTGATTTATAGATTTTGCAGTATATTATAAAACAATCATTGGTTGAACAATAATATAAATACATTGCAGTACTGAAGAAAACATTATGCTGCTGTATATCAAATAATTGATTAATTTAAAAAAAAAAAAAAAAAAAAAAAGTAGTTGATCAATGGCATGGAGAAGATTCCTAAAAGAAAGAAAGAAATAGAACTGCATAAACCGATTACCTTAAATGCAACGTGAGACTTGCTGGAATTCTTAATCCTGATAGCACTCCTCACCTTCTTTCCTGGTTCATCTGGAAATATATACACACACATAAAAATACAAACAACCAGTCAATCAACGTTTGAAATATATATAAAACTTCAAATACTTCACATACGGTAAATTTCCAATTTAATTCGGTTTTCAAAGAACTTTGGACCAAGAAGAGGATAGGAACTGTTTCCAATCCTAACGAACAAAGTGAGTAATGAAAATTAAAGAATAATCACTGGAATTTAAAAATAATAAGAGCCAGCAGTAACGCACAGGGGAAGTATAGATTGCTTGAAGGATCGAGACGAAGTCTTCGTCTAGCTGGAAGAATCGATCTGGCAACGGAGGAGACGGTAGAGGAGGACCGGCTGCTGGAGCCGACACCGCCAATTTGGTAGTTGTGATTTTGAGAGTTATTATGAAGATTCTGAGTAGAGGAAGAAGAAGGGACCGTTGCTGACTGCCAAAACGGGCATAGTCTCCACTTTTGGTGGCAGTGGTGACTGTCGGCAATTGCCATGTTCGGGGGAATCTGACGCAATTCTCCGATTGGAACTCTTTTTACCCTTTTCAGCTGATTATATGCAATCAGTTGCGATGATTTGAGTTTGTAAAAATTCAGAGAAGAAGAGTATTTATACACATTTTATGGATTTTAAATTGATTATATATATATATATTGTTCGCGGGAGGGGAGAGGAGGAAAGTGAAGATGGAGCAGCGGAATTCAATTGAAGGTTCAAAATGGATTTGATTTATATTTGACGTCCGATTCACAACACTCCTGTTCTCCAAAGCCATACGTAAAGAATTTGTACCGACGATGACGTGATAAAATATGAGTGGATTGTTTATTTTGCTTTTTTTTTTTAGCCATCTTTCAATAATATCGTTTATGTGTTGTCTGTAAGATTTTTTTGTCAAAAAATTCAGTACTTACAACTCATCATCATGCAATTCGTCTAGCTTGCAGTGGTTGTACTTTTCCTAAAATCCTAAATCTTTCATGTGGTGTGATTATGCGTTTTCAAATTTTAAAAATGAGATTTTAGTCCTTAATCTGTTTGAATATGTAAATTTGGGCCCAACATGGCGAAAATTATCAATAGTGGTGTTGGGATTCCACATTCGAGTGGTGGAAATGCTGGGTTTTTAATGTGAACATGGTGGTAATTGGTTGTGGGTGTATGTGAATATTAGGATTTGAATAGCCTCTAAAGTGGTTCTCTTGAACTGTGACCATATGTGACTTGATTAGGAGCCTAGTGTCGTGATTTTGATCAGAGGTGATTTCGCAGAGATGAGCTCAACAATTTTTATTTTTATTTTTATTTTTATTTTATTTTTATAAATTTGGCCCTATTTTGCCAAAGTTTAGTAAATATATACAAGAGGGTATTTTCGTCTGTTTCCATTAACATTGACCACATATGCAAATATATTTTAAAATTACAAAATTTTCAAAATTCACATTTAAATATGACTACATTATCAATTTCCCCCAAACTAGGAAAATGAGTTTTTTAATAGTAACATTCTGGAGAATATATAAGTTAAAAAAAAATAAAGAAAATTTTTGAATTTACGTAAAGAATAATAAAAATGTGTAATTGAAAATATGTAAGAAAAAAATTTAAAAAAGAACAATGACTAGGTGGTTCAAACTGACGTAATATGACCAATGAATGATGTTACGCGTACACCTCAATGTGTACACAGAAAGTTACACTCTCCTCAAATGGGAGAGGATTCTCGGATATTTTTTTTGCATGTGGACCTCCCTCCATGTAAGAGGGATGTAAGGTCGTGTGTTCATCATTATATACACATAAGCATTATCCATGACCAATAAGATAGCTAGTCGTATTTACGTGCAGGCATTAATAAATGGGATATGAGAACATATAATTATTGGTTGTTAATTCTATAATTGTATTATTAAATGGGAAGGAGCTGAATTGGAAAAGAAAACTAATTCATTTGTCGGGTGTAGGTTCGTTGGAAGGTCGGAATTGATTACATAATTAATGAAAATATCCATGTGAATTTTATTTATTTATTTAAGTACATTAAACATATGATATTTAACTACTTCCTTGGTTGGTTATCGTTATTTTTAAAATACATTTTTATCTCTTTTATTTTCAAGTTTCAACCACACATCCTTCAATAAATTAATATTACACAGAAACTCAAAACTTTTTCTTATTTTTCATCCACACATTCTCCGTCAAAATACTATTCGAAAATGTATTTTGGGCCAAAAATAAGACTCCAACATGCTCATATCTCCTTTTTTAGTACGACTTGCGAAACATGTGGGTCGTGCACTTGTAACAAATATTATGCTAATCAAATACGTACATAAGCTATATTTTCACAAAATAACTCTATGTAAAAGTAATGAATATCATTTTTAAAATTGATATCGAGGAGTGTGAGACGATTCAGAAGAAAAAAATGTTTAAAAATATATTGATTGACATTAAAGTTTACATGATCGAAGTAAGCAAATTGATATGAGGTATCATTTTGTTCGAGAAGTACATGATAAATTAGTCGATATTATCTATAATTCCATGTACAAATTTGAAAAGGATGGACCGAATCATTAAAAACCTTGTCATCAAGAGAAATTGATAAGACACCAACAATTATAATGGTACCACAATAATGAATAGATCTTGCGTTAGGTGTCTCTCATGTTAAGGATGCCTGTGTATAGATTGATAGCATTCTTAAATTATGGGCAATAAAACTTGATATTCACTTTATGGATGCACCTAACTTGAAGAATTCATAAAAGTTAAATGTAAATCATCAGTCATTTTCCATTTTTATTCCACTTGTTAACCTTTAATTTTACTTTTCAAGAGTGATTTTTCGAACTAACCATAAAAAAGTAAAACTACGAGTAAATAAATGAATTATACTATAGAAAACTCGAGTACTAACAAGTGAAGAGGTGGTTACTGAGTTAGTGGTTCAAGGGTCAATTCCTATCAAATATATAAAGATTACTTTTATTATGTTAGAAACTATTCATAGTAATTATCATTCACGAAAATTAATCCTGCTTTTTTAGTATATAATCTTTAATCCAAAACTACGGCACAACAAAGGAAATGAAAGGTGTCTAAGACGAAGTAAAAAAATCATGTTAGATGATGCTACAACATTCGGCAAAGGTCATAGTTGAGCATTTGTCAATTGATTTGCTTTTAGTTTGGACTCTTGTCAATTAATTTAGAGGAAATGAGAAGGACAATCGACTTGGCCAATAATCGATCAAGAAGAAAGAAATTATGCCCTCTCGCAATCTACTCAACCAAAAGGCAAGTCATAGCCAATTGCATGCTTTCTGGAAGAGGTGATGATGCAACAACGAAAGAACTAAAAGTCTATTTAAGGCGAAATACTAAGATTTAGTAGAGTTTCAGTTTATTTAGATTATAGTACTTTGATTTTCACAATGTTATCTTTTATTTCAAATATATTTAGATAGGAAGTTTATTTAATTTCAAAATCCCTCTATGTAAAAGGGTCTTTGGACGATGTTTAAAAAACACAGAAATTTATGAATAAAATTATTTCTCTTGCTCTCAATTCTTCCCTTTGATCATCTTTCTTATTGTTCTTTATCAATTTGTATGCTCCTACATAACACCATTAGTTAAACCTGATAGCAGGTAATCTAAAAAGACCTGGTGAGTCATCAAAACAAATTTTCCTAATCAGCCATGATTCTCACCATGAAACGCAGATTTCTAAGACACCTATCCCATGCGCTTGTAATCATTTTTTACCATATCATCTTTAGGAGTTTCTACATAATGAATGTTTGTACTTAATGAAAATACTACTACTTTTCACTTTAAGCAAATATTCCCTCTCAAATAATTTCATTTACCTTCTTATGTTATCAAGAACATTATAATTTTGCCTCACACTATAGAAGTATCAGGGATGAAGTTTTTAACCCTTTCCACTTGCACGAGTTACCTAATAAGGTTGTTGCCTTCACTAAGGCTGACATAATCAACCGACATCAATAGAAAAAAAAAATACAATTAGCAATTAAAAGGTACAAATTAAAGCCTAACGTGTTGAGTGATTATTCAAATTCTCAACGAAATTTGAAATTTTCAATTATCCAATTTTCCAATTGAACCGTCTAACGAACCAAATTTTAAAATACTATTTTTCAGACCAGATTGCAGTCTTTGAAACTTCGAACATATTCACTCATCTAAATCAACATATATTGACAAATTTCTCTTTTATATTAAAATATACCGATGGAAATTGCTTTTATACCATTTAATGTATCCCACAAAGAGACACAAGCTTGAAATCGACAGAGTCTAAGCTAATAATGTTGTAACGCAATAAGTTTGTATTTATTTACTCCACTTAAAGTTTTTTAAGTAGATATTTTATTTTTTAATTCAAGATTTTCACTTTGTTCTTCCCCTCTATTTCCTCGACCAGTTCCTAACACCTCGAAAGATCAAGCATAAACTTTTGAGTCACAAGATTATTCATATACTTCCTCTTATAAAAAAAAATGAGAAATCAAACCCTAAATTTCTTCCATCGTCCTTATTTGACCCTTCCAACCTCTCGTATAAGATATTTAATACTAAATTAGCTCGTTGATCATAACTTGAATTGAAATATCACCTACAAGGTAAATAATACAATTATATCCCTCTATTTAATTAAAAAAATTTTTTTATGACTATGGGTGTTCGGACCAACTTACACGCACCTCGACTAATCCCACGGAGCCATGAAGTTTACAGTTTGGTACTCACCTTAGTGGTCCTAAAAGAATTCGAACTGGTGACCATTGGGGAGTAAACACAATACCCGACCACTAAGCTATCCCTTAGGGTTCATATACCCCTCTGTTTAATAATAAAACAAATCGTTAAATTTGCCTAATAATTATGTTAAAGAAAAGGAGAATTTAAAATAATTACATTTCCAAAAATTGCAAAATCTGTCTGGCATGTTCAAAATCGGCAATTTCATTTGTACAGACAACTTTTTCACAGAAATGCATCAGAAATCTCACATTGTGCGGATCTCAAGTGTGATAAAAAAGCCAAAAAAATCACCCACCCCCAGTTTGTTCTGCATCGTTTCTGTGTGTACAGAAACTATACACACAGCAATGCTCATTCAAAATTATCTAACAGCAAAACTAATAATTCTTAGAATCTAACAGTGTTAGGATCCCAACAGCAAAAATCCATCGCTTTTTTCACGCATGTTAAGATTTTTTTTTTTTTTTATTTTATTTTATTCCAATAACAGCACCAGCAGCAGAAGAAGAAAATTTTGCATTGGGAGGAAGAATTTGAGTCTGATAATAGAATTTGAGATTGTTCTTTGCATGATTATGCAGTGATCTTATAGGATAAATCCATCCACAGACTCCTTGATCTTTCAGTGCCTCAATAATTCCAATGCTTGTGAGTCTAATCCTAAACAGAATCAAGATTTTCATTCCCAGTAAAACACATAAAAACACTCATTTACCAAAAGTGTACAAATTGCCCTTCTGTTAATATATAGGAATTAAATTGAGGCCAAAACTGTGTGTGGGACAAAAAGGGCGTGGGTAGGAGTTTTAGGAATAGTTCATGGTTTTTAAATAAAAAAAATCAACTTCTTATAAGTTACAGGGTGTATTTAACCGAATTAATTGCTTGAACATGCTGAACTTTGCATATGGTC